CCCACGGTGGTGACACCCACGGCGGTGACACCTGCATCCCCATGGCGGTGACACCCATGTCCCTATGGCAGTGACACCCACGGTGGTGACACCCATGTCCCTATGGCAGTGACACCCATGGCGGTGACACCCATATCCCTATGGCGGTGACACCCATGTCCCCATGGCAGTGACACCCACGGTGGTGACACCCATGTCCCCATGGCAGTGACACCCATGTCCCTATGGCAGTGACACCCATGTCCCCACGGCAGTGACACCCGTGTCCCCACGGCAGTGACACCCATGTCCCCATGGCGGTGACACCCACGGTGGTGACACCCATGTCCCCACGGCAGTGACACCCATGTCCCCATGGCGGTGACACCCGTGTCCCCATGGCAGTGACACCCACGGTGGTGACACCCATGTCCCCATGGCGGTGACACCCGTGTCCCCATGGCAGTGACACCCATGTCCCCATGGCAGTGACACCCATGCCCCACGGCAGTGACACCCATGTTCCCAGGCGGTGACACCCATGCCCCACGGCAGTGGCACCCATGTCCCCATGGCAGTGACACCCATGCCCCACGGCAGTGACACCCATGTCCCACGGCAGTGGCACCCCCGTCCCGCGGGTTCCGGTGCCCGGTTCCCGGTCCGGTTCGTTTTTTCACCGTTTCCGGGGCGGGTGGGGGGAGGGGCGGTGCCATAAAGGCCTTTGTGGACCGAGCGGGCCGAGTCCGCGTCCTCCGTTACCGGCGGGGGAAACGCGGGGGGGCTCCGGTACCGGCGGCGCCGCGGCGCTGGCTTCCGGCGCCGCCCCATGACGTCACGGAGGCGGCGCGACGCCATTGGTCCGTTCGCGCGTCGCGCCGGAAGTGGCTCCGGCCGTGGCCGTGGCGACAGGGACGCGGCGGGACCGGACCCGGTACCGGGCGGGGGGGGAACGGGGGAGGCTCCCGGTAACGGGGAGGGATCACCGAGGGGAGCCCACACCGGGGCTGGGCGGGGACGGGTCCCGGGGCTGGGTGCGGCAGTACCGGGACCGGACTCGGTACCGGGTGGAGGGGAGGAACGGGGGTGGAGGGGAGGAACGGGGGAGGCTCCCGGTACCGGGGAGGGGTCACCGAGGGTTTCCCACACCGGGGCTGGGCGGGGACGGGTCCCGGGGCTGGGGTGGGGCAGCACCGGGACCGGACTCGGTACCGGGTGGAGGGGAGGAACGGGGGTGGAGGGGAGGAACGGGGGAGGCTCCCGGTAACGGGGAGGGGTCACCGAGGGGAGCCCACACCGGGGCTGGGCGGGGACGCGTCCCGGGGCTGGGGTGGGGCAGCACCGGGACCGGACCCGGTACCAGGCGGGCGGAACGGGGGGGGAACGGGGGAGGCTCCCGGTACCGGGGTCACCGAGGGGTGCCCACACCGGGGCTGGGCGGGGTGGGGTGGGGCAGTACCGGGACCGGACCCGGTACCGGGCAGGGGAACGGGGGCGGCTCCCGGTACAGGGGATGAGACACCGAGGGTTGCCCACACCGGGGCCGGGCGGACCGGGGCCGGTTTGGGCGGATCCTGGTGGTGCGGGGAGGAATCTCCGGGGCCGCACCCGGTACCGGAGGGTGGCGGGGGGAGGCAGCGCTCGGTGCCGAGCCGGTACCGGGAACGGAGGGTGGGAACCCGCAGCGCTCGGTACCGGGCGGGGCGTACCGGGATCACCTCCGGCCGCTGAGCTGCCGCCCCCTCCGCAGCCATGGACGCGCCCCCCGCGGCCGCCCCGGCGCCGGAGCCGGTAGCGGAGCCGGTGTCGGCGCCGGTGCCGGTACCGGAGGCGGTGCCGGGGCTGCTGTCGCTGCCGCCGGAGCTGCTGCTGCGGATCTGCGGCTTCCTGCGGGCCCGGGACGTGCGGCGGCTGCTGCCCCGCGTCTGCCGCGCCCTGCGCGCCCTGGCCCGGGACGCGGCGCTCTGGCGGCTGCGGCTGCGGCAGCGCGCCCGCCGCCCGCTGCCGGTGCTGCCAGGTGGGTGCGGGCACCGGGACCTGNCACCCTGTCCCAGTGTCACCCTGTCCCAGTGCCACTCTGTCCCAGTGCCACCCTGTCCCAGTGCCACTCTGTCCCAGTGCCACCCAGTCCCAGTGTCACCCTGTCCCGGTGCCACCCTGTCCCCAGGAGTCCATCCAGAAGCTGATGCCGCCGCTGATCCAGAAGTGCAACGAGCTCAAGGACAAGGACGAGGACAAGGACCTGTTCCCGCTGCTCGAGGTGCCCCCGAGGGTGCTGGCAGGGTGGCAGGGTGCCCGTGCCACCCGTGACGCTGTCCCCGCTGTCCCCGCTGCCTGTCGGTGGCCGCGGCGCTGCAGCGCGGATTCCTGCCCCACCGTGAGCCGGGGCACCGGCGCTGCGTGGCACCGGTGGCACCCACGGCAGGGACACCCACGGCGGGGACACCCACGGACGTGACACCCACGGCGGGGACACCCATGTCCCCATGGCAGTGACACCCATGTCCCCATGGTGGTGACACCCACGGTGGTGACACCCATGTCCCCATGGCGGTGACACCCATGTCCCCACATCCCCGTGTCCCCACAGCCGTGACACCCACGGCAGTGACACCCATGTCCCCATGGCAGTGACACCCATGTCCCCATGGTGGTGACACCCACGGCGGTGACACCCATGGTGGTGTCACCCACAGCGGTGACACCCATGTTCCCATGTACCCGCAGCAGTGACACCCATGGCGGTGACACCCATGTCCTTGCATCCCCATGTCCCCATGGTGGTGACACCCATGGCGGTGACACCCATGTTCCTATGTACCCGCAGCAGTGACACCCACGGCAGTGACACCCACGGCGGGGACACCCATGTCCCCATGGCGGTGACACCCATGGTGGTGACACCCATGTCCCCACGGCAGTGACACCCATGTTCCCAGACGGTGACACCCATGTCCCAATGGCGGTGACACCCATGGCAGTGACACCCATGTCCCCACGGCAGTGACACCCATGTCCCCACAGTGGTGACACCCATGTCCCACGGCAGTGACACCCACGGCAGTGACACCCATGTCCCCAGGCGGTGACACCCATGGCGGTGACACCCATGTCCCCACGGCAGTGACACCCATGTCCCCACGGCGGTGACACCCATGGCAGTGACACCCATGTCCCCACGGCGGTGACACTCATGTCCCAATGGCGGTGACACCCATGTCCCCACGGCGGTGACACCCACGGCAATGACACCCATGCCCCACGGCAGTGACACCCATGTCCCCATGGCGGTGACACCCACGGCAGTGACACCCCAGTCCCGCGGGTTCCGGTGCCCGGTTCCCGGTCCGGTTCTTTTTTCACCGTTTCCGGGGCGGGTTGGGGGGAGGGGCGGTGCCATAAAGGCCTTTGTGGACCGAGCGGGCCGAGTCCGCGTCCTCCGTTACCGGCGGGGGAAACGGGGGGGGGGTTCCGGTACCGGCGGCGCGGCGGCGCTGGCTTCCGGCGCCGCCCCATGACGTCACGGAGGCGGCGCGACACCATTGGTCCGTTCGCGCGTCGCGCCGGAAGTGGCTCCGGCCGTGGCCGTGGCGACAGGGACGCGGCGGGACCGGACCCGGTACCGGGCGGGGGGGGAACGGGGGAGGCTCCCGGTAACGGGGAGGGATCACCGAGGGGAGCCCACACCGGGGCTGGGCGGGGACGGGTCCCGGGGCTGGGTGCGGCAGTACCGGGACCGGACTCGGTACCGGGTGGAGGGGAGGAACGGGGGTGGAGGGGAGGAACGGGGGAGGCTCCCGGTACCGGGGAGGGGTCACCGAGGGTTTCCCACACCGGGGCTGGGCGGGGACGGGTCCCGGGGCTGGGGTGGGGCAGCACCGGGACCGGACTCGGTACCGGGTGGAGGGGAGGAACGGGGGTGGAGGGGAGGAACGGGGGAGGCTCCCGGTAACGGGGAGGGGTCACCGAGGGGAGCCCACACCGGGGCTGGGCGGGGACGCGTCCCGGGGCTGGGGTGGGGCAGCACCGGGACCGGACCCGGTACCAGGCGGGCGGAACGGGGGGGGAACGGGGGAGGCTCCCGGTACCGGGGTCACCGAGGGGTGCCCACACCGGGGCTGGGCGGGGTGGGGTGGGGCAGTACCGGGACCGGACCCGGTACCGGGCAGGGGAACGGGGGCGGCTCCCGGTACAGGGGATGAGACACCGAGGGTTGCCCACACCGGGGCCGGGCGGACCGGGGCCGGTTTGGGCGGATCCTGGTGGTGCGGGGAGGAATCTCCGGGGCCGCACCCGGTACCGGAGGGTGGCGGGGGGAGGCAGCGCTCGGTGCCGAGCCGGTACCGGGAACGGAGGGTGGGAACCCGCAGCGCTCGGTACCGGGCGGGGCGTACCGGGATCACCTCCGGCCGCTGAGCTGCCGCCCCCTCCGCAGCCATGGACGCGCCCCCCGCGGCCGCCCCGGCGCCGGAGCCGGTAGCGGAGCCGGTGTCGGCGCCGGTGCCGGTACCGGAGGCGGTGCCGGGGCTGCTGTCGCTGCCGCCGGAGCTGCTGCTGCGGATCTGCGGCTTCCTGCGGGCCCGGGACGTGCGGCGGCTGCTGCCCCGCGTCTGCCGCGCCCTGCGCGCCCTGGCCCGGGACGCGGCGCTCTGGCGGCTGCGGCTGCGGCAGCGCGCCCGCCGCCCGCTGCCGGTGCTGCCAGGTGGGTGCGGGCACCGGGACCTG